TGTGGTTAGATATGCCAGTTCACTATAAACAGAGCTCTGATACTAACCTGTCACACCCCCGAACCAGACGGCGAAAACGTCTGAGGGCTCGCGTGACTCAAATTGAATATCATCACAATGATTATACATGAAACACCACATAAACTTCACCATGCATTAATACATTACAACTGACATTGTTCACATCACGTACATTGTCTAAATATTACATATCCATAGCATAAATTGTTTGAGAGTTTTCAAAACATAACATCCTAACATACTTGGTATTACTCTTCAGCTTACCTGTTACCTGAGAATACAAGTTATTTTGAAAACGTCAACATATGGAATGTTGGTGAGTTCATAAGCAGGGTTGTTATAAAAATGATTTGTGTAGTTTATAAAACCTAGAAAATCCGATATTTTCTGAAAAAACAATTGCTTATACCAAAGTGTGAAAATCCATAAGTTTGTGCATGAATGATTTCAAAACATGTATAAATGAGAAGTTTTGCATTATAGTTATTGAAAGTACAAGTGAATGGTGTTGATTTCCTCGAAAAACGAGATGTTTTCCGATAATATAATATAATTGTTTCAAATTGTTATACCGTCACAACGAATGATTATGATTTTCCTTGATTACTCGGATAGTATTGGATTCATTTATTTATGTGAGTCGTTATAACCATGCATGATAATGACTAGTTCGTCTGTCTTGGCATTCCAGCGGACGCCGGAATTGATCTTAAGATTTTGTCACCCTAGACTGGCCGAGTCTAACTGTAGCGAACAGCTGAGGTGTGGGGGAGTCACCCCCGTATAGATCTATACACAAACTCTCGCTCTCCCTCCAGGAGACTTTGATTATAACTACAGACTACGAACGACACTTAGAGGTGTCGCCCGTTATTACTCACTTAATCCAAACGAAATTGATTACCATTGATTAACGACCTGTATTTGTTTACTTGAATTGAAGGTAAGCCTAACAAACGAGGAGAAGAGGATTACAAAGTCCTGCTAATTACGTGTGTTATTTAAGGCTGTTGGTTATACGAAGGACGCGTTGGCCCATTTCACATTTGATTTAATTGGACCTTACTAGCAATGCTAATGGGCCACTGAGGCCCAATAACACATAGAAGCCATTGAGGGTCCCTTAAACATGTATTGGGTCACAGGAGGCCCAATAGACATGTGTTATTATTGTTAGGCCCAAAAGTCATGTCGATGGGCCACGAAGGCCCAATAAGCATGATTAGGATCTTTCAAGCCCAACTATTTGAATATTTACTTGTTTTAGGTATAGTATAATTGTCGGAAGTTTGATTGAACAATTGTTAAATTCGCAACGGCACGAAACTTGTCGATTGTTTATAACGATATTTAAAATATATGTATATTTTTCATTCTATTTTATAAGTTGTAATTTGGTATTTTTTTTTTGACCCAAATATCTTAATAATAAAATAATTGACTCAAAATATTGGTTTGACCCATTCAGCCCTTTTTCTAATAAAAATGACAATTTTAGTCCCTTATATAAAAAAAGACATTTTAGGCCCTTAAACCATTTTCTTGACATTTTTGACCCATAGACTTGTTTAAGTAATGTTTTTAGCTCAAAATTTACTCTTTGGCAGTTTCAGCCCCTTCAGTAGGGAGTTTTTCGGTTAAAGTCCAAGTTTTTCGCAACTTTTACAATTTTGGCCCAAATTCCAAAAACTTTACATTTTTTGATCCTTTTGGAAAAAAATCATTTTAACCCCTGAAATAGTTTTGTTTACCCTTTTACCCCCTGTTTTGAGAGTTGTACCATTTCAGTCCCTTGAAAATCATATTTTCGCAATTTTGGGCCTATGGGCCGAAAAGCCCAAAAATTGGCCCATTAAGCTACAAATTACATATCTAGTCCTTTGAAGAGCATAATATTCATAAAAACATTTATTTTAACTGTTTTGACTCTTTTGGTCCTTAAGAAAACCGTGAATGACAATTTTTAACCCAACTTTTGTTTATTTGACAAATATAGTCCAAAAATGAGTTTTATGTTGCAATATGTTTATTATAACCTTAGAGGGTAATTTTCTTGACTTGTTTAGTGTAATATATCTTAGATTATGTTTATTTTCCTTCTTGTGCCATAGATCTCGAGGTTTCTTTCATTTTGTTGAATATTTACCACATAAACACATGAAATCACACATAACATACACATACACATAGATCTACACATTTTACTTGTATTCTCCCCCATAAAACTTATGAAAACCGAAAATAGAGGGGTATGAACTCACCTTTTCTTGTTGTTTTCGATTTGAAGAAGAAAGGGAAGAGTTTGATGTTACTTTCGGCCCTAGCAAGCTTTCTTGGGTTGATCTCGAACTTATGGAGGTTTTCTAAGAGTATGATCACAAAAATGCTTAGAATGAATGATCTTAGCACAAGGATGAAGTTATACAACTTAGATGTGTAAGGACTTACCAAGGAAGGGGTGAGTTTTTAGTGGAAATCTCCTTGATCCACCTTAGATCTTCAAAAATTTATGGAGAAGAAGGAACCTTTCTAGAGAGAGTTTGTTTGAAAGAGATGGATGAAATGTGTGTGTGGGTTGTGTGTCTTCGGCCGAAGATAGAAAGGAGAGGGAGAAGAGAGAGAATTGCATGGGTATATGAGACTTGCATGGTTGTTTGTTGGATAATCCATTACTTAACCTCTAAACAATAATGAGGTGTCATGGAGCCATTCTTTCATTCATTTCCCTTTTTTTTATACTTGTTGGCCGAGAATGGCTAAGGAAAATAATGGTTTGGGCCTTTTTGTGCTTGAGTCCATAATATGGGCCCAATTTGATGGTTTTCGGCCCATTGGGCCTTTTAGAGTAATTCACGGCCCAATATACATCAAGGAATGAGTTTTATGGCCCATTAGGGCTAATTAGATTGTTATGGCCCAATAAGGCCCATTTACATAAACTAGCACATTTTAGGCTTATAAGGCCCAAAAAGGTTAAGTTTTATGGAAGTGGGTCCAATTAGGGCCCATTTAAGAGTTCTTAGCCCAAAATAGTCAAATTGGAAGTTTATTGGTCCATTAGGCCCAATAAGGAAATCCTAGTCCAAAATGGACTTGAACCGGGATTTTTAGGGTTTCCAACCTTTGTTGACTATTTGAATGTTTGTATAGAGTATTGATGGAATTTTGTGGTCATTGAATAAGCACCATACATGTTTTCAAGTTTTAGTTACAATGTTATCCTTGTTAAGGGTTTTACAAAGCATCAGAATTCCTAGTTGTGACAGAGACTGAGATAAAGAGAGAAGGAATGCAGTAAACGGCGGTGGTGAATGCCACTGATGGTCGTAGTGGTGAGCTCTCATGAAATCCGAAATCAAATAAGTTTGATTCTGTTTTTGCAAACACAAACACAAATAAAGAGATATAGAATGGAATCGGTTCAAACACAACTCGTACTGTAGCAAATGGACATTCGAGTATCGGTTGTAATCACACAGTAATTGGCACCAACAATCGCCACACAATGGGGTTTTTTAAGTATTTTATACAGAGGAAAGGAAAAGAACAACATAAACCTGGTCTATTTCTTTGACATTCTTGAGAAGGAAACATATTGCTATCGATGTCTGGTAATTGTAGTAGTGGTTGAAGGTGGAGAGATGAGGCTAGGTCATTAATTCCGAAGGGCGAAAATTGGATGGCTGGTAACGATTAGGCAGAGAGTGGTTAGAGAGTGGTTGCAGGATAAGGGTTTAGAGACGAATAGAGACATATTATGGTGGGGTTCTTCTCCAGAGAAGTGGTGTGAGTGCAGAAACCGGGGTGGAGAGGAGATCAGATAAGTGTAGGGGAGATATATGGGAAGGGAGCATTGTATTGTTGATTGACTTGTGCTTTATGGCATGGAGGGACGAAGGATGTGATAGAGCCTTTTGAACTTGAAGTTGGGTGAATTAAATGAGAAGTAGTTGAATTTTGAAGTATACCAGGTCAAGATAAGCTAGATAACAAGGAATATACGAATGACAAGGAAGATTATTGCATTAGGCAGTTGTAGACGATTTCTATTTTTAGGGAACTGGAAATGTTGGTTTAGCTTGAGATAATACATGTGGGGAAAGTGGACGATTTCCATTTTTGTAATTTTTTGAATTTTTGAATGAAACGGGAATTAAAGAATGAGATAAGATTGGTTTGGTTATTTGTACTATAAGCTTAATGGTTTGGACGTCTTAAATCTATTTTTGGAAATAGTAAGATTTGTATAATAATATAGTAAGATATTATATATATATATATATATATTATATATAATATCTATATATTATACACATATTTTTTATAACTAGATATTTTATATATACAAAAAGTTTTTATATAGAAAATATAAGATTTTATATGTGAAAATTACGTTTTTTGTATAAATATGATTTTATAAAGAAAAAAAACATATTGAAATAATTTTTTAGAAAAAAAAAGTTGAAAAAACTAAAGTTAGGATGAATTCATAATAAAATTCTAAAATTTGGGCAAAAATGGTAAAGTTTGGACCAAAAATTGTAACAAAATTTAAAATATGGGCCAAAAATGTAAATTTTGACCAAATTGTAATAAATTTTGAAATCTGAGTCAAAAATGTAATTTTTGAAAGTTGGATGACCTGTTGACCGGGTAAAAAGGTTAAATTGAATACGATTACCAGTATTTGAGACTTAATGATAAAAAATATATATATAGACTAAATCGATTATAAGGTCAATAGGAACTTTATTGCAGTTTCCTTTTATATATATATATATATATATATATATATATATATATATATATATATTATATATATATATATCGATTCTTGATTTCGTATTTTGATATTTTGATTGAAATTTTGTTAAAAGTTATTATGCATTTTACACGCTATAGGCCTCCACTGCCACGGCTCGCCACGCCCCCCAAAGTGCCGTAGATTCTTATTTTATTGCACAGAACAAGATACTCCATTGAGCCAAGCTAAACCTGTTAGGAGCTTATTTGATTTGATTTGATTTGATTTGATTTTCTATCCATTTTTAAGTTACCGGAGTCGGGAGCTGAGCGCATCGGCAACTGCAAGAGTTTTTCATCCTCAAGGTAATTTCGCATTTTCCATCTCATCGTTGCTCTAATTGTTCCTACATATTTTTATGTGTCAATAAGATTGTGCTGATTACTGTTCGAATTTCATCTCAATTTAGGCTTTTCATCAAAAACACTCGCTCACTGATACTTTGTATTTCTAACATTTCGTCAAAAACCCTCGTTTGCAGACTCTCTCTCTCTCTCTCTCTCTCTCTCTCTCTCTCTCTTGTAAGCATTAATAGCCCTCACTATAGAGCCACTTGCAAAGCATTTCTTTCTGAGTATCATTAAGGACTTCGTATATATTTGCTATTTGGCAATCTAATTAAGATGGTTTCTGAACATTTTTTAGAATAATTGCTCTCTGCATTAGACTCTGACTCTGGTGTAATTAGGATTATACCTGTATACCATAACTTGTATCAGCTCATTTTGCTTCTTCACTTTGAAAATTCAAACCCAAACACCCCCTGATTAACTGTCTAAACGTTGAGGTTTGTAAAAAACATTATTCAGGTGAAATCCACTTAAGGCAATGTCATCTGCTGCATTTTCAACATGTACATTGCATGAGACTCTGCGAGATCATGAACTCATGTGCAATAAACCAAGTTGCTTCCCTAAGCATTCAGTTCATTTCAAGACAAATCACATATATGGTGACCCTTATAACTGGATGACCTGGCGCCAACCCAGAAGGCTCAAGTGCAGGGCACTAGATATTGAAAGGAACCGTAGTTTCTTGAAAGGGGACATGTTTCAACTTGATGATGTGATTGAAGCACAGCAGTTTGATAGGGAGATTCTGAGTGCTATATTTGAAGTGGCACGTGAAATGGAAGCAATTGAGAAGAAGTCACGTGGAAACCAGATTTTAAAAGGTTATCTAATGGCTACTCTTTTTTATGAGCCTTCAACAAGGACCAGGCTTTCATTTGAATCAGCAATGAAACGGTTGGGTGGGGAAGTTTTGACTACAGAAAATGCAAGAGAGTTTTCATCTGCTGCAAAAGGAGAGACACTCGAAGGTAGTTTTTTGATATAAGTCTATAACAATAACACACTTGATTCATTTTGATTTGATAGTTGATACTGTTTTTCAGATACAATAAGAACAGTTGAAGGGTATTCAGACATAATTGTGATGAGGCATTTTGAAAGTGGTGCTGCTAAAAGAGCAGCCATGACAGCTAACATTCCTGTTATTAATGCTGGTGATGGACCAGGGCAGCATCCTACTCAGGTACGTACGTATACACACTTTGATCTTTTTTTTTTTTTTTTTTTTTAATGTGGATTATTACTAAGGGTTTGTTTCTTTCATTATCCCATTAAGTTATGTATGGATAAAGTGGTTGAATGGGTAATGGTGTCAATGACTGTCTTGATAAAGTGCTTTAATCTTTATACACACAAAGACTGTTTCTTTTTTGGACTGAATGAACTTGCCCCTTTGTATAGAAATGATGATAAATAACAAAGGTCTGATTATTTAAAAGCTGTCATAAGATATAAACCATACTTTATTTTCTATAAATAATAATACAAATGTAATAATCTTAAATCTAAAGCTCTTTATCATCAATTTAAATTATTTGTAATTCATAAGTATACCCATAAAAATTTAATATTCATCGAAATTGTAAAAGAATGCATGAATATGTAGTTGCACAAGTCAAACTCTTTATGTATATCTCCGTGATTCTTTAATGCTTTCGTAATATATCAATTAATATTTCACGATTAAAAGATTGTACTTTTTTGTATTATCTTACGATTCATGCAAAAAAAATTAAATTTTTTTTTTATAAAAAATCGTGTAAAAAATATTTATAAAAAATTATATATATATATATATATATATATATATATATATATATATATATATATATATATATATATGAAGTAAAAGTTGGGAGGAAAAAAGACGGGTAAACAAACAGGTAAAGGGTTAGTGTCTTAATACGATTAAGCAAGATTTTTTGGGTTAACCAGTTAAGTCATTTTGTCCATATTAAGTAAAACAGAAACAGCCAATAGCCATATTATATATAACTAAGTGTTAAGTGAAAGAGAAAGAGGGAGAGTGTCTAAGTTTAGTTGTAAATATAACAGGCTCTTCTTGATGTGTACACTATCGAAAGAGAGATTGGAAAATTGGATGGAATAAAAGTTGGACTGGTTGGTGATCTTGCAAATGGGAGAACTGTTCGTTCCCTTGCATATCTTCTAGCCAAATACAATGATGTCAAGATCTACTTTGTTTCCCCAGATGTTGTAAAGATGAAGGTACACTTGATAATAATAATAATAAATGATTTGGTTTGGTTTGGTAATATTTAACAATATAATATATAGGATGACATTAAGGAGTACTTGACATCAAAGGGGGTTGAATGGGAAGAAAGTGTGAATCTAAAGGAGGTGGCATCGGAATGTGATGTGGTGTATCAAACTAGGATTCAAAAAGAACGGTTTGGGGAGAGGATTGATCTTTATGAGGAAGCTCGTGGAAAGTACATTGTCGATTCTCATATTTTGAGTGCTATGCAAAACCATGCAGTTGTCATGCATCCTCTCCCAAGGCTTGATGAGGTAAACAAACCTCTTCTCTTAAGCATGTATGAGTTTTTTTTTTTTACACAATGTTTGATGATTGTCTATCTATATGTAGATAAGAGTGGAAGTAGATGGAGACCCGAGAGCTGCTTACTTTAGACAAGCCAAAAATGGACTCTTCATTCGAATGGCTTTGTTGAAGCTCTTACTTCTTGGTTGGTGATTATCTTGTCATGATTGGATTTGTTTTTCAACAAAGTTGCAATAAATGTTCTTGTTGTTTTTGGTCTTATAACCTTACATATCAAAATTGAAGTTCCATTTGTGGTAATCCGACTTAGTTTTGTGATTATAAACTTATAGCATCAACACTTGAATCTTAGATATTAAATGAGTACCAAATCAACTAAAAATAAAATGAGTACCAAATCATAAAATGAACATCTCTTTCAACATGTATCATAAAATAAAAATGACCACTCATTTTGGGGGAAAGAAGATCAATCAATTCGTCAAGCTGCTTTTTTTTTTTTTTTTTTTACGTATGTAGGAATTTTGGCACTTCAGAAAAATAAAGTTATGTGAAAATATTCACGAAATAAAACAGAAATGGTGAGTTCGCCATGGGAGCTTTTATTGTTCACCGGTAGGAGATTTTAGTTTTTTTTTTTTTTTGAACCGGCAAATCTAATCTCTACTCTTAAGCTAACAACACTTATTCCACCTATGTCCACGACGGGACTTGAACCCTTGACCTCAAAGAGGGAGGGCACCACCTAATACCGTTGGGCTACAAGCCCTTTGGTTTTAGTTTTTATTTTAAACAAAAAAAACTCTTAATCCCAAAGTTATTTGAATTACCTTTTATCATTGTGGTTTTATGTAACAACACTTTTTGTGAAAAAATGTCATTTCACCAAAATATGGCAGTGACTAAAAAGAAGGTAACTGGCAGATATTTTTTTGTAAAATAAATGATCCACATTATGTGAAATGGGCTTCTCCTTTTTAGTCGCTTTTATAATAATCATCTCTTCTAAAATTATGTTTGCTAGAGTGAAAGTATATTTCATTTGCACGAAAGCATCCTAACTATTCCATACCTTTGACACATAGCATCTTTTAAAATTCAAGTTTGGTAAATAAATACTTTTAGATAAAAGAAACATATAACTCTTAATTGTTTATATATTTATCCTACCAAAAACACCATTCAAAAGAAAACAACATTACAACATACTACTAGTAAGTCGGAAATCTGTGATCAACATCATGTGCCCACGACTCCAATCCACCAACAATATCCTTTGCAGACACAAAACCCTTGTTGTGAAGCAACTGAACTGCCCTCTGAGAATCATTACCTCTTCTACACACAACATAAACACCACCATTACCATTAGAATCAATAGACTTCAATGCAGATTCTATTTCTGGCAACTTATCTTCCAAACTTGCAAGAGGCACATTCATGGAATTTGGAAGAGAGACAATCTTGTAATGCTGAGATGGCCGAACATCAATCAGGACATGTGCATCCCCCTTCTTAACCACCTCCTCATATTCCTTGCTGCTTATTCTACAATCTTCCTTCAACAATTTCAACTTTAAAGGAGCCTGCAAATTCATACAATTTCACTTTCACTTTCACAAAAAACAAATATTTTTTTTTTACCAGGTTAAAAACACAAACCGGAGATAAAGGTGACTGAGTGAATTTCTCATAATCAAAGTGTTGAAAATTTTCTTGTGTCATTGTCGCATTTTCTCCACAAGCTTCACATTGTGATGACCTTCCTCTAATCTTCACCTAAATTTTAGTATAGTAAAAATATACCCAATAAGTTGTAAATAAATGAAATAATAATAATAATAATAACTCACAATACGAATTCGGGCTGACAAAGCATCGAAAAGAAGCATCCTTCCGGAAAGTGGCTCGCCAACCAAGCTTGCTACTTTAATGGCTTCCAGAGCTTGAAGACAACCAATAACTCCAGGAACTATGATAATAATAATATATTATATAGCCACATCACAATTCACATATATGAAATATTATATACTGTAAATCAACTGATATTATTATACAAGTTTAGCTTACCTACACCAAGAACTCCACTGTCAGAGCATCTCTGACATGCTGTTGTGGGTGGTGGAGTTGGAAACAGGCATCGGTAACACGGGCCTCCATTGTAATTATAAACCGCAAGCTATAAAAAATAAAAAAAATAAAAAAAAAAGTAAGATAGATACATTATAAATTTATAATCAACAACTTGTATTTGTAGAAAGAAAAAGGGTACCTGCCCTTCCAAACCCAATGCAGCACCTGATACAAGGGGCTGCAAATATATATAATTATTACAAATCAGAACTTGAAAAATACTGATTCATATGAGTTTTAATGTTTCATAATGTGGATAAGCATAAGAAATGTGACTTTCATTTCTTGCTGGGAACATTGCAGAGAATAACAACGTACTTTACACTTATGTATTTTATTTTCATGCACATAATAGAAACGTACTTACATATCTTTGCTGATAATAGCAATGTACTTAATTTTTTTTTTACCTATAATAGCTAAATACTTACATTTACCTACACATATACTTTATTTGTTATGTATTGCAATTATTGCCTGGTGAAGAAATGTTTGTATTATGGGTAAAAAGTAAAGTACATTTGTCTATATTGGTAAAGAGAGTAAAGTATGTTGCTATTTCCTGCAATTTTCCCCAAAAAGAAACACACCTTTCCCAGCAAAACACAGCAATCACTGATCATATATCGGCTCGGAGCATTATCTGTTGCATCTATTACAATGTCGTATCTAGGAAATTAACAGTCAAGGAAATCATGGAACACTTATGCCAGCAAACATATTAGAGTGAAATACAAAAATCGTCCCTCCCTATGGTTATCTAAAAACTACGAATTACTCAAAATATTTACATATATCTCCAAAGAATTTCATGAGGTGTATTTCAAAGTATGAAGGATACTTGCTCACAATCTCCAAAGCATTGGATGTGCGTAAAGCTTCTTTGTGTTCAAGTATTTCAATGGTGGAATTGATCCTGAGACACAACACTAATAGCATTAACGTAACACAAACTTCAATTTTTTTATAAAACTATACAAAAACACTCTTTGCTAGATTTATGAGATAAATAATTAATTAATTAAGCAGATATAACATACGAACGACAAGCTGCAGCAGCAGATTCCACTTTAGATCGACCTATGTATGCTTCACCATGGATGATCTGAAATGTTGACAGACTAGTATATCAACATCATGCTTTTTGCTGACATGATTTAAATAACACGCACCCAGAAAATGATGTATATTATTGAAAGAAAACAATGGTTGATGATGATAAATGCTGATCAATACATTTTAAATGATAATTAATTGGAATTAACAAGGCATCATCATTATACCTGTCTGTGTAGATTGTTTAGCTCAACAACATCATGATCCACCATCCCTAACCGACCTGTTAAGATTTGGCCACATTCAATTATTTGTTAAGAGATGTAAAAATAAAAATGTTTGGAAACACCAAAAAAATTAAATTTTCAAAATCTACAATAAACAAAGCAGAATACCTCACCTACACCACAGGCTGCTAGATATAACAGAGCAGGTGATCCCAAACCCCCAGCTCCAATAACTAATATGGATGACTTTAAGAGATTTGACTGCCCTGCAACCGAACAAGAAAGTCAATTAGATGAAACCTTTTAAATCAACAGAATTCCGCACACTGATTGTTTAAGATATGAAAACAGAGCTCTTTCTTCACAGAGTAGACTTATAAACATGGAGCAAAGGGAGTATATTGGAGCAAAAACAATCAATTTCAATCATTTTGATCACCACTTTCTGCACTAGTATAGATATTGTTGCAGATTTAACGCACACGTCTAAACTCAAGGTCAATCCCAATAAACACAATAGAAACAAACCTTGAACGCCAAAAGAAGGAAGTAAAAGTTGACGGCTGTATCTGTAAATCATATCTGGAGTCAAATCATGTCCAAATTCCGACCCGCCATTGGAACAATCGGACGAGGCCTTTTTATTGAGCTGCTGATTTGATTGAATTTGTCGAAGCTGACCTTCAAGAGCCGATATGCGAGCCTCGATATCTCGCTTGGAATCCTTCAACGACTGGAGTTCCTTGAGCAAGCGGGTCGATTCATCAACTCCTCCGTTGGATTCCATTGGTGAAGTGGACAATGTTCACTATACAGTAATCTAGATGAGAATTTGGAGGCAGACGTCAAGTGATAAACCCTAAATAAGAAAATGTCGCTGCTGCAAACAGTCAATTTTGGGCTTTCAATACGTCCCTTGGCGCCTTTGGCCACGAAGGTCGCGAACAAACGACTTTTGGGTGTTTGAGGGTTCGTTTCCAACTTCAAAAGAAAACACAAATAACGTTGAAGGGTAATTTAGCTCTCACTCGAGAATATAAGCAACTATCAACCAAGGTTCATGTTAAGTTTTGTTGGAGATAAAAGTTATAATCCACGACTAGGCAAAGGATGCACCACTACATTGTCATGGGTAGATGAAACACGCATTCATTTTGGTCCACACGAAGTGGCATGATGTTAGCCATGACATGGCGACGATCAGGTCACAAAACTTTAATTTTCGAGCTTTAAGCCCTATTTAAGGGATGTGATGGTTAGGGTCCGCACACTCTCAGCCTCCATCACCTCCCTTTCGATCTATAAGCACTCATAGCCACCATTGATGAGTTTTTGAAGTTTTGTGGTGATTTTTAGTGAGAATGAGAAGAAGGCATCCATTGTGTGAAGATTCAGCAAGCAATCCCCTCCTACACTTTCTAGCTCACATTCTGGACCATTGTGAGTCTTCAGGTTCCAACATTTATGTTTCATGCTTCTAGATTTAGGTTTCTTTGCATTGTTCTTCAAGATTTAGGTTTCTCTGCATTTTAAGTGGTTGGACTCCATAAAGTTAGCAACTTTATGGATCATTGGGGTCCCCTTTGTGGACATATGTTCCAGATCTGAAGTTTAATGAGTCTTGATGTTATGCATGGAATTTTGGGTCTCATTGCCTTTATTTTTAGCCTAGCTTGGGCTCAAGGCATGCATTGGACATGCATGCCTAAAAAGCAACGATTTTTATGATGTTTGGAGTATAATAAGGCCTTCTGGAGAGTATGAGTGTGATGCTTGAAGGATTAAGAGCTTAATGCATTAAGTTGTTCAGGAAAGTTACCACAACGTGGACATTTTAGCCTCCACGACGTGGTGTTAAGTGGTATTCGCGACAGTTTTGTTGTGAGGTCACCACGGCGTAACAAATGCTTAGCCATGACG